GCTTCTTCCTCAGGGATGTGTTCTGGGTCTGTATCCTTCTCCCTTGTTTCTACCACTTCATCCTGCTTCTTTGTGTGGACTGTGCTGGTCTGTTATTTCTCAGGCATCGTGGTGCTGTTGTATTTAGATATCTGTTAACTGTTTGTGATGAGCATCCGAGAGTGATTCAGGATCTTCTTGATGGTTTTTTATCATTGGCCTGTTGGTGGAGAAGGAGGTAGTGGCTGTCGCTCAGTAAGTGAAGCTGCAGGAGGTGTGGGTGTGGTTGTGTCTTTTGGGGACTGTTGTTGTCTTCCACTCAGTTAGACACATATTACAATTGAATAACATCAAAAAACTAAAAGCCTATTGACGAAAAACACCCCATGTAATCACACAGGCACAGTAACCAAAAAAAGAAAACAGGGAAAAAAGAAGAAAAAACAAGAAAACCTGCAATATCTTTGGATAGGGCACTAAGAAAAAAAAGTAGGGAAGGAGAATAATAAATGAAGACAAAAAATTGGGAAAAATGTAAAAAGAAAAACAAGGAATGGGGTTAATCATGAGGAGAAAGGGGGAAAAAAAAAACCTTAATTAAAAAAAAAATTTCAACCAGGCACAGGGGAAAGAAAAAAATGCTGAAAAGTAGGACCTGGTAGGGGAAGATTAAGAATAATAATAAAAGGACAAAAGTATTAATAATATTATTTGCTTTAAAACAGACAAATACAAACAAACTAATCACCAGAAAAAAAGAAAGCGAAAAAGAAAAAAATTTAAAAAAAAAAAGGGAGAAAAAAAATCGGTGGAAGACAGGGCAGGGCACCCAGGCTCCATCTGAGCACACAGTCTGTGATGGAGTTCCTGTAGGCCCAGAAGGTAGGTGGGAGTGGGGGATGGTCACACCTCTGTTCACCAAGCAGTTGTAGGTTGTAAGAGTAACAAGAGGAATGTTGTACCTTTTCAGTCTTGCAGGTCCTGAGTGCCCTTGGGGTTGCTGGAAAGCAGAACGTGTTCTTAAGCCCTAGGAATCTGCACGAGCGCTGTCTCTTTAAATATCAAAAATAGTCAAGCCGCTTTTTAAATCTTCAAAATGGCGGCACCCTCTGAACCGGCAAAAGTCCACAGTTCAACCCATCCTTCTCTTCACCTTCTCTGTTTGTTCCCCAGCCACCGTGCACAGTCCTCTGTGCAGTTCCTGGCTAGCAGGGTGATTTTTAGGTTAATTCTTAGGTTCTATCACCACTCGCAAATCTCCAAGCTGTCTGTGCCTTCAGGATTGTTCAGGATCGCTCCCAGACCGCAGCTCCATCTGTCTCCTTTTTTGGTATTTTCATGCAAATTCTTCTGCTAGTTGGGGTTTAGTCCACTTCTATATGCTTCTCTTCAAGGCTCAGGGGTCCAAGATTATCTTCTGTGTCTGTGTTAATTGGTTTCCCTTTTCTTTGTTGAAGAGGGTCTGTGCAGTCTTTCTGCCTAGTCCG